AATAGCTGCAAAATGAAAAATTCCAATCGTGAGGCTTTGCTATGCGATAATCGACTAGACGGAACAATAGATAAGACCGGACTGAACAACACTTTTTTTTTTTTTTTTAATTGTACTGTCTAATTCACCTTTATCAAATATGTCAGTATTGTTTAGCAACCTTTTGAAACTCACCTGCAGCTTTTGCTCCGTCGTTTCCGTCTGAGGGTGGAGGTGGATAGTAGTAACTTGAAGACATGGCTGATAGAAATGTATAAACAGTTGTTAAATCTCGAAAGTCTCAACACCAGTGAAGCAAAAATGAAAATATTTTTAGCAATTATTGATCTTCGGAATTATTTGATTCATTTGAAAAGTCATGGTATATTTGCAGAAAAGAATTGCAAGAAAGACAAACAAGTTAAAAGGATGAGTTCAACCTGCATGATAGCTGGTAAAAAGACAATCAAGGTAATGATAGTCACCATAATGCAAAACAAAGCTTACTTCTTAAAGACAGTGTGTAAATAACAATATATAGTAACCTTAAAATACCTTAAGGATGTCTCAAAGGATAATGCTTAGAGAGAGAGAGAGAGAGAGTATAGAACATGGAGAGAATTTGGATGGGAGTTTAGGCAAAATTTCATGACTCTTATAACTGTGCAAAGTGACTAAGAAGAGGATTGATGTGGTGAACTTGGTGGAAGTCCCCAATCTTTATTGTTTGTTGCACTTTGATCCCTACACATTAAAATGTAGCAATCACATCCCCAACCTATCCCTTGTTTAGCCATCATTATAATGAGAATTTGGAAAAAAAAATGTATTTTGAAATAATTTTTTTTTTACTTTTTTTTCTTTTAAATGTGTGGGTAAAAAAAAAAATTTGAATTTACGTGTAATATTATTTTATTAAAGAATGAATGATTCATAAGAAGAGAAAAAAAAATTATAATTTTAATGGAGGCCAATTGCCAAGCAGAGGCTAGAGATGTAATTGCTCCTTTTAAAGATTGAGGACTAAAGTACTATATATGTCAAAAGTGGTGGATCTCCACAGCTATTTTTCCTATTTAAAAATATTTTATACAATCAATTTCCAATCCACCTTCCTTTTTCACAATCACCTGGACCCCGGCCGGCCAATTAATTTGTTTCTTTATGGGACGTGTGGACCCGCTTCATCTATTTGACCTAAGTTACCAGGTAATTAGGTATCAATTTAATGCACATTCTTTTTTTCTTTGTAATACCATATTACAACGCGTTTGGAGTCGTCTAAAAATTTAATTTGTTATTGTTTCATCATGCATCAAACAATTGCATTTATGTTGTTGAGTGTTAGGAATGTTAAGTGAATCGAGTTGTTGGGTTCACAGATGAGCCGATGCATATGCTCGCTCGCTTTGAGGCAAGTCGAGCACACGTTGGCTCTCTTGAAGAAAATATAGCTCGACTATATTTCTCACACTTTTTTTTAATTGTTTTTGCTTCTCGGCTCCCTTGCAAGCCGATGAGAGCCGACTATGGCTCGCACGATCCTTGATTACCTATGGGCAACTTGAGTCCACAAGCGGCTCACGCACTCAACATCCCTATTGAGTACTCTTTGCATAGAATTGAAAGCTTACCCTATGGTAAAAAAGATTTTTCAAACAAATAACTACACATTTATTAATTCAATCGGGTAACTAAGTCTAATCATGAAATTGTACTTATTTCACGTTAACAACTATCGAGTAAGTGTAATAATCCTCATTTGTAAACTATTACATCATCGATAATTGTTAGTAGAATTAGACAAAGTAACCTTAGTTGAAATCAAATTAAAGAAGGATCATCTGATTGAAATTATATTAAACTCTAGTCACTTGATTGAACAAAATTGAAGTACGATAATCTATTGTTAAGGTCAAATATTTTTTATAGGTTAATGCAAGACATCTTGGTGATGATCTCACCCTTGTGGGATATTCAAAGTTGATTCTTCTGTTTTACAACAATTTTAACAAATGGAATGCATTATATATATATATGCATTGGATGGATCAAATAACGCAAACACATTGAGAATATCAATGTCAATATTATATTTAAGAAACTAAACTTCTAGTCCTTTGGCTCGTGTTTGATACGTTGTATTCTCTATAGTAATGGCTATCTATCTTCATTTTGGTCACATTCCCTAAGAATTATACCTCGGGATGAAGTTTTAAAACTGTACGATGTTCTCGAAATGTCATGTTGAGAATTCTCTGCATCTGTGTGGTAAATAATAACAAAATCTCGTGTATTTGCTAGATAAATAGTTCATAAATGGAAGATTGATATATATATTTGTAATTTTTTTTATTGGATCAGTGTTTAATGTACCATTCATTGGATACAAGATTGAAAAATAAAAACAAAAATAAAATCATGGACATAAAATACCAGTCCGAGCCTAAAAGTTGTGGGTAAGCTGAATAGGCTTTGTATGACTACAAGCCCATTGAAACTAATTTGGCCTTCTAAATTCCTTCACACAAGTGGGCTGGTATGGAAGTCGGTTTTTCAAAAGTGGAAATTACACAAAATTAGAATTTTAAAATTTTAATTTCAAATTTCATATATAAATTCATCTATTTCATCTAAGGGGAGTTCATTTAAATGCCCCAGTCAAAGGAAACATTTATTTATATACCCTTTCATCTATCTTTTTTAGTTAGATAGCCCAAAGTTACAAAGAAAATAAAAAACA